GGGAACTGATGTCAAGGAGTCCAGGAAGGAAGAGAGTGTTTGGAAACTGAGTATGGTAGCAATCGTACAATACTGCCTGATGTGACTGAACTGTGGAATGATACGTGTATTAACTCCTAATAATAAAAAGGGAAAAAAAGACATTTAATAAGATATTTCTTATTGTTGCGGTACACTTAATAATTTGTTTTCATATTGTTCCCTACACAATAAATAAGTTCAGCCATTAAAAAAAAGTTGCAGTGTAGCTCTGAATCATCACGAGGTTGGGGTTCACAGAGGGTCCCTCGGGAATATCGAAGGAAGACACATTGAGGGGGCTTTAGAAAGTGAATGGGAAAATGGAACTAAAAGGCAACTCTTCTTTTCCACAAACTGTTTGAAGAACCCCGCCCCCCAGGTCAGGCATATCGTGGTAAAATTTCTGAGTCACTAAAAATGTGCAATGTTCGTATGCCCAGGTGGGGTGGGTGGGTGGGGGTTTGGCGGCACTCTGAGGCGGTGGCAGGGGAGGGGAGGGGAACCGCATCTGAACAAGGAGGACCTGCCCTCTGGAAGGGGTACCGTTTACATAATTCACCGACCGTTGCCAGCAAGCGTAGTTGTGTAAAGTGTGGAAAAGCTGCTGTGGAAAGCTGCCCTGGCGTCTGAGAGCGAGCAGAGGGCATGGCCCAGGTACCTCTGGGAAGCCCCCTGAGCACAGAAGGGAGAGAAACAAGCACAAAGCAGATTCCTGCAGGTACACGATCTCCCAGGTGACACACCGCCACCCCCCCGCCGGTTCCGTAATTAAATACATAATCCCTGTTTTCCACTTCCCATCCTGTCTCGCTTATGTGAGGGGGCTTCACGCATCGCTGGAGAAATGGATTTTCCAAGAGCACCCTGGTGCCCCCACATACACTCTGAAGCAAGCCTACTTTGGGACAATGACCACGATAACCTGCAGGAATGAGCTGGTCCAGATGTACCAAGCAGGGAAGTTTTACAAGCTCTATGACAGTCTTCTCTCTGCTATCAATACTGAGCCGTCCAGCCTTTCATTTAGCAGCGAGCCGAGAAGAGCCTCACTCGGCAGCGGGAAAGGCAATAGCACGAAAATCACTTGGAGACACAGCAGAACATCACCCTGTTTCCCACCAGCCACACCTCTGGGAAACGGAGTTCGCTGGAAAACCACAAACATCACGAGAGAGATGTGGGAGGACACTGGATCCTTAAAACAAGAACAGCCGTCCTTGGACAGAGAATCAGAACAAGGAAGGTCCTGAAAATGGAAAATGGTGGAAAGAAAAGACTTTAGAAAAACACCTCAAAACAAACAAAACAAACCCACCCCCGAGGGGCCCACGATCAGGATGAACACGGCTAGAGGCGAACGAGGGACCGGGGGAATCTCTCTGAAGGGCAGGCACAATAAAGAAGGACGCAAAGCACACAGGTTGCTAGGACTAGGTTAGGGTTAGGGTTAAGTTTAGGTCTAGGGGGGTAAGAAAGTTTTTGAGAGATTTGAATCTTTAGGGTCAGGACTCATAGTCAGTCACACAGACTTCCTGACAGGAGACACAAGTAGGCATAGCTGGGTGAACTTCAGAGTCTGAGAGCAAAGACAACATTCTACACTCTTCTTCACGAGAGGAAGACCCAGCATG